CCGTGTGTGCGCAGGATGAACTGGCGAGAGACGGCCGTGTGACGTGGATCGTCGAGTTTTTTGCCAACTGGTCTCCAGAGTGCCAGTCCTTCGCTTCTGTGTACGCTGATCTCTCTCTCAAGTAAGGCTGAGACCGTCCTGTGGTGAAATCGTGGCGTGTCTTCATCTGCGTTCAGGAGTAACTTCAGTGCCTTCTGTTCTGTGGAATAGGTATAACTGTGCTGGCCTAAAGTTTGGCAAAGTGGACATTGGACGCTATGGAGAGGTTTCCAAAAAGTAAGACCCTTTTAAATCAGTTTTCTCGGTGACGTTTGGCTCCCCACATACATGAGCACTCCCTGTTCTGCAGGTACAAGGTGTCAGCATCTCCACTCTCCAAGCAGCTTCCATCATTGGTGCTGTTCCAAGGAGGGAAGGAAGTTATGCGGCGCCCTCAGGTGGACAAGAAGGGCAGGGCTGTGTCATGGAGCTTCACTGAGGTGAGACTGCTGCTGCTGGTGTGCTAAAGGTGAACACCTGTAATATCAAAGATGTTCTTTTTCTCAGTAACACCTGGACTTGGTCGCATGGCACTGTGGCCTCCTGTTTGTCCGTTAAAACGTGGTCAGTGGAGCGAACGACGTGCAAAGTAATCTAAAAAAGAGAAAACAAGTTCGCAGTGCGTCGTCTGACCCTGGGGTCACCGTTTGTTCCATCAGTGTGCGATTGTTACACAGAATCCTATTTACATTTACTCCAATTATAGAAAATAAGGAAATATCTGAAATGCTGAAGGTGAGCGGTGTTAATCAGAACATTTGTGTTTTACAAATATTTACATCTGTGCATGAGAAAGTAACTTTGTATCTTCTTCTTTGCAGGGTTGACATGGGATAAGAAACATGTTTCTTTAAAAACTTCAGACTGAAATTAAAAATTGAGTTGTTGTAATTATCTTCAATAAGTGACAGAAGCCCAATATTAACACAGTCCTCTGTGAGTAAGCACCTGGCCACAGTGGAGAGGAAAAACTCCCCTTTAACAGGAAGATCCCTTCATTCTAACCAGGGTCAGGCTTGACTGGTTGGGCTGAGGGGAAAGGCAGAGCTGTGAGCTCCAGAAACTTGCACACCAGTTATAGTGTCAGCTGTTCCCCTCCTCATCCATGTACTTGACACTTAGAGTCTTTATATTTAAGACTTTGCATGCTTGTTTCCATCAGGAGAACATCATCCGAGAGTTCAACCTGAACGAACTCTACCAGAAGTCCAAGAAGTTCAGCAAGACCAGAGGAGACAAGGTCAGCCAATCCCAGTTCCCCCCAGTGCCTGAGGAGGAGGAGCCAGAGCAGCAGGGAGTTGAAGCCCAGGGGGTGGAGTCTGAATCCAAGAAGGACAAATAGGACCATTTGTATTACTCACACTGGACTTGTTAATGGAATCTGTGGGTCCACTGTGGGTCAGCTAGCTCCTCCTCCACCTTTGTCTTCATGCTCCTCTTCAGAGTGTTCTGTTTACTTGTGAATCAGGCCCCGCCCCTTTCCCTGAATGTCCCTAATATGTAATTTAGCAGAGTATCAAAGCAAACTGCAGTAAACCATCCCAGTTGTGTGAAGAGGACCTGAGGTCACTCTTTGGTGGAGGAGCTTGGCTGGTGGGGGCTGATGATGGAGACGTCCAACACAGGAGCAGAACATGTGTTATGCTACTAATGACTTATTTTAATCTTTAATAATTTAAATGCAGTTAGTTAGTTACTGATGTGGACCATTTAGCAGCTTCGTCACACACATTCCATCAGCTTCTGTCGTGTTTTCTTCTTTGAGTGTTTTTACCTGCTGACCGTGACTGTGTGCAGCTCCCAGTCAGCTGTTTCTTTCTTTGGACACACCTTACAGGCCCTGACTGGCAGCACTTAGTAGTCAGGTTGATTTAAAGTAGCGGTGATTCAGTGATCCTACGCTTCCCCCAGTTTCTCACCTGGTCTCCAGTCTGCTGTGTATGACCCGTGTTCTGCAGTTGCCTTTAACAGATGGTGTAAAACACGTTCAGGTGTAACTCCCTACCTGACGAGCCCACCTTTGTTTTTAGTTTGACTTCGTAAAACTCTAAATGCAAAGGACTTTTTCCTTAAACTTGACTACATGCATGTGCAAGTCTACATTTTAATCTAATAGACTAAATAATACATCAAATAATTGCTGGCTTGGGATCAGTGAAGCAGTTCCAGGCTTCTCGGCTGTGCTTGGTTCCTGCTCGTGCAGAAATCTGAAAATGAGGCATTGAATCTGTGTGAACTGCAGTAACCCCCTAAGAACCATGCAGCAGTGTGGCAGCACTGTTTGCTGCTCCAACGCCAGGACACGGGGCGGTGCACACGAACACAGCTCACTGCAGACGCTGACCTGAGCAGTGAGCTGCTGTAGACTATAAGTAGCTGATGATTCAACCACTGCAAAGAAAGTAGCAGTGAGTCAGGCCGAAGTTTGGGGTTCGTTCAACAGGAGTTTCATTTCTTTCTTCCTCCTTCATTGTGGTATTTGTGTGTAGTTGCCATTGAATGTAGGTTTCTAAACCCTGCTGTGTTTTATCCACCCATCATTTTGCTTTCAAACAGAGAAGGCTTCGGTTTCTGCCTTAACGTGTAATTGATGACTTAAACATTCTGATAAATGATAAAGAGCCATGTGATAAATCTGTGGAGACCCTCAAATACATTTTCTTTTCTAAAAAAAGTATATCTAATAATAACAATCCAATAATTGGGATGCTCCATGGAGGGGGAGTCACTGTTTGGTCAGTCTCATCCATGAGGAAACTGGATTATATCCATCTTGTCCACAAACTTCATATCTACGGGTCCCAGCCGGGGTGTTGAGCCCCGGGTTGAGAAACTGCACACAGTGACTAACAGAGTGTGCATGATGGAAACACAGCTGGTGGATCCAGGAGCCTCTGCACTCCTCACCCAGATGATGTCAGATGTGTCCTGCACATTGATTGGCTGACCCCTGGACTCCATGGAGATAAAACGAGCGTGTTTCCACAGCCTGAGGATCATCTGGGTCACTGGCATCGCTGCATTCATGTCTTTGTTACAAACCTTTTGAATATTGATGATCAGAACTGTTATTTGTTACATAGTGAACCAATTTTCTGACACGTTTTTCCTTTTTTACATTCAGTAAGCACACTGTAGTTTTACAGATGTTTGTTCCTGATTTAACCTGTTGTTACAAAACCTGTTTGGTTTATTATTCATGTTGACCATGTCTAACCTCTGTGGCGTGTTACATTTCATTCAGAAAAGTCTGGCCTGTTTGCTGTTCATGCAGTAAAGACAACATGAAGCGCTGTGATGCTGTCGTCCTCCTTCCTTTTAGCTCAGACTTTGGTCACCACCCTCACAGTGACATGTGACGACTCTGTGCCAGGGTCTTTGTGTAGCCCAATTATCTGCAGATGTTTCATCTGTGGTGAAATGACTATAGCCAGCTAAGCTTGTAGAAGATGAATGAGCCAAACCAATTAACTATGTCCATTAGAAAGACTCATTGAACTTTTTCAGCTACTTTGGACAGAGTTGCTGTCTTTTTGATTTTATAAGTTCCCTGGATTTAAAAAATCTGTTCACAAACCGCGTTTGTTGCAGGTATACATAGATATTCTCTTGCAGAGATATAAAGGTTTGGATATACAATGTGTCATTCCTAACGATTAGCTAGTGGATCATGTTTTAGTGGGGTGACCTCTACAGCAGCGGTCCCCAACCCCCGGTCCTCGGACCGGTACCGGTCCGTGAGTCGTTTGGTACCGGGCGTGAAATGTCTGGTTTTCAGGGTTTTCATCGGTTTTCAGCGTTATTTTGTTATCGTTTTTATCGTTTACTCGGTTTTCCTGAGTCTTTTACGTCTGTTATGAGTAAATCTTTTTTTCGGTACTGGTACTGGTTTTATTTTGTTGTATTTATCCGCGACACCTTGAAGGCCGGTCCGTGGAAATATTGTCGGGCATAAACCGGTCCGTGGTGCAAAAAAGTTTGGGGACCGCTGCCTTACAGTGTGGGCGACGTCAGGCGAGGGCAATTTCTAATGGGGCAAAATGAGAAAGGACAGTTTTGGAGGGCTGCACAATAAGCTGAAGTTAATTCTGCTGAAATTCTGGTTAGAGTAGATTTTAGAATTGATCAATGAAAATGTACGCCATGCCTTCAAATGATGTTACCACATTTATTGTTCAAGGCTAAAACCTGTGAGGCAGCTTTCTGTCATTTCTTCAAAGCTCTTTGAATGGCGATCTTCTGTTCTTTGTCAAGCTGATCCCACACTGCTTAATGTCCAGGTCCTGCTGTAATGTGTGTTTTTCTATTCAGATATACTTTTGTGTTTGGGATCATTATCATGCTGCAAAAGCAAACTCATACCAATCAGATGCTTTCTAGGTGGGACTGCATAATGGATCAAATCTGATGGTACTTGTCCTGTGTTCAGAATAAATCCAGTTTCAACATTACTGACTTGAATGCAACACAGCTTTGGTTCAAACTGCTGACAGTTGGCTGACCAAACCCAGCTTCCAGGAGCAGAGAGCAGTTTTGTTTTTGCTTCCAAGACAGCAACTGAAGCGTCACCATGTAGATAAAAACGTCAGACGTGTTCACACAGTTACTGCTCATCTGCTACTTCCTTTGGTCGCCTCCTTCCCTCTATCAGGCCACACTGTTGGATTTGATAAAGGAGGATGTCACTGCTTGTACTTTAAAAACCTGGGTTCGCTCAAAACCTGAGCTGATTGTGACCCACACCTGTTTTCACACCTCGGCTCATGTGATGAGGCAGAGGAGGATCAATAGGGGGTCCATGACCCTCTTGGGGACACTCCCACCAATTACTCTTAGTGCTGAAGAAGCTTCTTGGATGAAACTTGGTCAGGGACACTTAAAAAAACGCTTTCCTTTCCCAGCTCATTGGACTACAATGAACTACAACAGATTCAAGCTGAGTGCATTCATTAGAATCAGAATTTAAATTTGACTAATATTACTTTATTATGATAATATAGCAGCAGGTCCACTCATCTGTGCATTAAAACAGCAGAATCGTCCTTCAAGCAGTTACTTTCTTACTGCGAGTACATTTCACTGGTACTCGACCAAAGACGCTGAGTCAGTACTTCAACTTCTACTGGAGTATCTGCACGACTGTTCTACTCGAGTACAGAATGTGTGTACTTTGTCATCTCAGAGAGTCGTGCTGCCGCGAGAACTGGAACATGTTTGTGAAGCATCAGCCTGAAGCAATGGGAGGTGCTGCTTTAATGGTTTTATCCAGAGGCTCAAACACAATGGCAAACACAACCTCTTCTGGGTCAATATTAAAAACTCTGCAATATTTATCAATAGCTAGATTTCCATAGAAATTCATATAAAACAATGTCAATTTAAATAGGTGAAATAAAAAAAGGACAACACTTGCATTTTCAAGGCATTCGCTCATGTGCCACAAAATCCTGCTCCATCTTTAACAACGAGAGGTTGAAACAGTTTCCAGATTCACTTTAGTTTGTTCAGACAACACAACGAGTGGTCGTACCATCTGAAATCAACACACACACACACACACACACACACACACACACACTCTCTAATGTGTATACATCCTGTTTTCATCCCTCGTCCTTTCCTACATTTATCTGTAGCTTGAAAGTCTCTTCAGCTGTGAGACATGCTGATAAAAACAAAGGTTAGAATCAGAGCACCATATGGCACCTGGGTCCCTTTGGATCAGCGTGTCTGCTGATCTTATTTTGCATTACTGTCAAACTGTCACTTGTCTTCTGCAGTTTTTCCAACTAGCCCACCACTGAGAGCTTCCTGGTGTTTCAGCTCAGCCCAGTTTATTTATGCAGTACCTGAAGGTAACGACTGATCCTGATTCAGTTTCGTGGTCAGACTTTTCTTTAGAGTCACGTTCAAACACTGACTCACATCTGACAGTGAACGGATGGGCCTTTGCTTTAAACGAAATATCCACATGATTATTTGCAGATTGCATTTACAATCAGTACACGTGTCCCATTTTAAACCATTTTTAAGCCAATCAAATGTGATGCTTTCAGATGGAATGACCTGTGCGTCTGCAGCCAGACATGGCGGCCTACAGGGTTGGAGTAGTGCATGCTGCAGTCCACTTTTTATTTTTTTATAAAACAGGAAACCACATTGAAAAACACATCCTGTACAAACATGGAATCATATTCACATCTAGGAATAAATGGACAAATGAAGCAGAGAAGTCTGCTCGTGCCCCTCCCCTTCAAATCTTACACTGTTCTTTCCTCCATCAGGAACGAACTCAGAGTTCATCATCATCGAAGCAGAAAGGTACAGAGCCGCTAACAGCTCCCTTTGACTGGTTTCAGGATTACACGCACGCACACACCTGTGGTCCAGTGCCACCTGACTGCTCCATCAGGTGGATGCTGCTGGTAAAAGCACGCTTTACCTGCACTCCCCCTGGTGTGACTCATCACCTGTCCTGGGGGAGCCCTCTGGGTTCCACAGTTTCATGATCTAGATACAAGTGTGAAAATGATGAGGTCTAAAAAAGAGGGAGACAACCAACATCAGGTAAACTCAGCTCGAGTCCAGACCTGTTCCAGAGTGGACCCCCGGGGATCCAGCCCCCATCCCTGGCAGTGCTAACGCCTTTTCGCTGCTATGCTTGTACAATGCCACACAGACCTAAGCAGAAGTGAGCACCGTGGGGTCTGTTTGGACCAAGAACTAGTCTTTTCTAGCGCAGCGCCTGGGATTCTGCCTCACTTTAGACCAGGTTTCTATTGGAGGGGCTGCTCAGTCACACAGCCAATGAGAAGTAAGGTCCAGGTCCACAGCAGGAAGCTGTTTTTTTGGGTAAAATCTGAATTTGTTCCTTAGCGGGCATAAAGACGTAGTGCTGCGTCCACTTTGTCCCACTGGTCCTGGAGCTGGAGGCCGACTGCCAGTCAGACTGAAATCTCATAGGTGGTGCCCCCGACACCAGTCACCTTCTTCACCCCGCTGCCTTGGGGCTTGTGGGCAGGACTCAGCATCAGTGCTGGGCTGGGACAGGCTGCTCTGGGCGGAGCGGACGTGTTGACTGGGTGACAGGGAGAGGAAGGGGCGGAGCAGGAGGAGGTGGAAGTCGAGGAGAAGGGCTGACCTCCATTAATCCGACTCAGAGATTTCATCTGCATCAGCTCATCCCTGATTTTAGGAAAAGACAGAAAAGAACAATTTTACTGAAAACTGCGGGCTGCAGCGTGTTAGCCATGTTAGCTCTGCTGCTAATTTCATCACTGAAGCGCGGCTACATTTGGATGGATGTCACCATTTACTACATTTAGACCTGAACACATTTCCTGTTGAACACTGGAGATGAAGGAATGACTGGATCGCTTTGATTGGTGAGAAAGAATTTGGCGAGTCAGAGTGGACGTAGTTACGGCGTGCGTAGTTCCAGAGGGAACATGGACACACAGTTGGGCTGTTGTGTTACCGATGGTGACAATAAAAAGTGTTTACGCTGATTGGTCCTGTGTATGAAAATACTGGCGGTGGGCGGTGCTACCCTCAGCCATGTCGATGCTATAGTTCACATCAGGTCAACCCAAACCAGGGCTACCAAAGCTAGCTTTAGTACACAGAGGTCAGTAGTTTGTGGACGGTGAATCATGCTTTTCACTTCCCTTTAATAATCGTAGCTACAGAAACACCTTGGCAGTACACAGGGGTGGAGTACGTGTACACAACACAGCGAGCAGGACGGAAAAGAACAGGAATGAGAGACGGGACAGACAAACTGAAAACGCCGTCATGCAGCGGTCAGACCGAGCCTCAGTTTAACAGCAACACTGTGCTGCTGCTCACGCTTCCTTCAGATTTCACTTCCTGTGCGGTTAAACCGAGGAGCAGTAAAAGCTTCACTGGGCTCCTCAGTTTGATTAAAGTCATCATCACTGCACGTCAAATCATGGTGACCAAACAGACAGTAGCAATAACGCACAAGACAACAAACAACGCACAACAGATGGATGGAAGATGAGCAAAGGGAGAAGAAACTCACAGGAAGTCTGGCAGGATGAGGAGGAGGAAGAGAGAAGGGAAGAGGAGGAGCAGGAGGAGCAGTCAATCAGGTAGTCAGGTTTCAGGCGAGCAGGCGCTTTTTCAGTGTCAAACCAATCGTCCCGACAAAAGCTCAAACTCATACTCACTTCGGCACTTGGATTCCTCCTCCTCCCATCCCTCCGCCTCCACCTCCTCCTACCCCCGCTGCGTTTGCTCCGGCCGACGCCGAGGCCTTGCGGACCAGCCGGTACTGCATTTCGGCGGCGGCTGCACTTGAATAGGAGAGCGACTTGCCCAGAGGTGGGGGGTGTGGGGAGCGGGGAGGATGCGTGGTGGAGGAGGAGCCCAGAGGCGTGTCGGTCGAACGGGTGCGATAGGGGTAGGCGTGGTGGGGCCCTGCGTGAGGGGCAGCAAAGCGTGGAGGACGAGAGGTGGAGGAAGAGGACGAGGAGTGATGATGGTGGTGGTGGGAGTGGTGGTGGTGATGGTGATGGTGGTGGTGGTGGTGTGGGGGCGGTGGAGCAGAGGTTTGACCGGCAGGCGCTGCAGGTAGGTGGGGCTCGCCCAGCAGGCGCTCCCTCTCTGGTGGAGGCGGTGGGGAGGAAGACGTGGAGGATGAGGAGTGATGGAGGAAGGGGTGGTGGTGGTGAGAGGAACGGTGGTGGTGGTGGGGTGACTGGGTGGACTGGGACTGCATCTCAGCCTCTCTCTGCTGTGACGACAGGAAGGGGGAGCTGTAGCCACCACCCGCCGCTGGCGTGCAGGGTCTCCCACCGGAGCCGTCGGGGGCCACCGAGCTCACGCCCACTGCTTTGTCAAACTCATCGCCGCCTGCTAGCAAGCTGTCGTAAGACAGGCTCCCGTTGCGAGACGGGTGGTGGGGCGGGGGTGTCTGATTGGCTAAGCTCTTGAAGCTGGCGGAGGTGGTGGTGGCCTCTGAGACGTGGACGGTGCCCGCCGAGGTGTGAGTGGAGCTGGAAGATCGCGACGCCACTGCAGACAGGACGGTGGGGTCAGAGAAGGAGGGGTAGGAGCGCCCGCCCAGAGAATAGCCAGGAATGCCGCCTCCTCCTCCTCCTCCTCCCTCTCGCCCCACCTCCCTCCTCTCCCCTCCTCCTCCCCCTCCCACTCTTTCAGACGACGTTTCCCTCCGATCCAGGCTGGGCTGCGAGCGGAAACCAGGCTGCTGGCTGGCCTGGAGGAGGGAAGAGGTGGAGGAGGAAGAGTCCCTGGCACTGCCGACGCTCTCCCCTCGACTTAGCTGGAGGAGCCAGAGGGAAGAGGAGAGAGAAGAGGGAAGGTGAAGGGAGGCGGAGGGAGGAAAAAGAAACAAGAAGAAGCTCAGCACATGAGGGAAGATTAAAGTCATACTGCACTCTAGCGCTGACAGCCTGACACAACAGCCACCCCTAACCAACGGTGATTAGTCAGGGGTGGGTCATCTGAGCAGAAGGCCGGTGGTTGGCCTGTGCTTTCACAAGTATCTCAGTGTATCCATCAGAGTGTGTGTGCACGTTAGGCTAAGAGAGTGCTCCAAGTGCTCGAATCGAGTGAAAAAGCATTAAAAGAACCAGCACATTTACCAAACTGCTCTTTGTACAACCCTGACTGTCCAGATGAACTCGGCAGCTCCATCATCATAATGTTCATTATAACCATGCCAGTGTTCAGACTCTCTGGATCCTGCTATTGTGCGCTGTATTTGGAGCTTCCTGCGCTCTGCCTGTTTCAGTAACATGTCAGTCAGAATGTCTGAGATGGTGAAATGATGGCGTTCGCTGTATTGACACTGATGCTTAAACACTAAAGAGGAATCGTACAGAGCTACAGCCACAGTCACTCAAAGCCCTTTTCCATTAGTACCTACTTGGATCATGTCGATGTGACTCAAACTATTACGACTGCCACCCAACGCGCGGGGGGGTCGGTGTAGCCACAGATCTTGTGATGTCATTTGTATGCGACATGAACACCACGACAAAGGAACACGTCAAGGCTCAATGTGTGTCACACTCTGCATTTCCCCACTGCTGTGCTTTAAAAATGGTGGCAGTTTCTCTCATGACGTGTCGAGTGACGTCCCGACTGGCCAATCGTTGGCATGCGGTCTGCTGACATCACATTTTCAGATCACTTGGGACCCCAGGTAATGGAAAAGGGCTACAAGGCACAAATCTAACCAGGAAGAACTAACAAAGAAACTGAGGAGTGATATGGACCAGACAGGGGCACAAATACTGAGCAGAACCAGTGTATTTATGGCAGTCCTGATTGCTTCACTGTGTTCAAAGAACGCTGCTGAGACGGAGTCGTGAAGTCTGTTTTCACTGGTTTCATTACAGTATTTCAGCCACGTCCAGCGCAAACAGAAGGAGACAGGAAACAAGTTAAAAGGAAGATAAGAGGAGGAAACTGCTTTCAGCACAATCACTTACTGATCAACAGAAAGCCACTGAGAAACCAAACCAAGATGGCCGACAGGAAATCAAAAGGAGAAAGAAAAACCAAAACAGAAATGGAGATGTTAGATTAAAAAATGATCAAAGAAGCAGGGACGAGTGGAGGTCCAACCTGACACGTAGCACACACTCTTGCATTCTGCGTGCGTTACCTGGTTGGCGTAAGCATGTGTGAGCGCCGTGTGGTTCTTGCCAGGGCTGTACGTGGGCCTGTATTTGTACATAGTGGGAGTGGGAGGGGCCTTGTTCAGCAAACTGCACTCTGGAGGGTGGAAAGAGAAACAAGATGAGCACAGAATCGCCTTCATGTGCACTGAGCACCATTAGCATAGAAGAGCTATAGTGAATGCAGAGTTTTATGTTTGGACACCCTGCATGATGATACTAGCACCGCTTCTTCTGACAGCTAACAGCCATTCAGGTTTTGTGAGACTTTAGTCCGTCCTTCTGCAAAAGTCTTGGGGTGTCCTGCATGCGCTGCTTTGAAACATTGTCCAATATTCTTGGATCAGAGGTGTGTGAGGTCTTCGTGAGGTGCGTTTAGGATCCTTCTCCTCGTTTTTAACCTTCTGTTCATTTACAGAGACGCTGTCACCAGCGCTCGTTTCAAAGCTCAAACCTCTGACGATGAATTTAGAGATTTCATCATATTAGTGCAACACAGCTGCTGTTTTTAATGATACTATGAAGTAAGACATAGTATCCCACAAGCAACCCTCTGCTGCTTGTGGGACTCTAAATGTTCACAGTACTGGCAGGGAGCTGGGGATACTGGAGCCCATCCCAGCTGTCAACACAGACAGACAGCCACTCACCTCCACATCCAAAATCACCAATTAACGTAATCTCCTTCATGACAGTGTATCCACGCAGCCACAGGAATTCGAACCCAGGACCCTCGTGGTGTGAGGCACCAGTGCTAACCACAAGCCTCCCGATGAGGATAAATATTAAGTCCTTTGAGCGTGGGTTCTCAAACCTTTGTATGCAACTATATGTTGACCAGGAAGCAGACAAACTGCAGCAGACAGAGTAAGAGCCAATCACCCTCTGTGTTTCCTCTGGTAATTCCTGGGTAGCGGAGCTCTGGTTTAGGAGGTGGTGGTGGCTCAGCGTCACAGGACTGGCTCTCCATCATTTCCAGACTGGACTTTGACTGGAAAGAAGAAATGCGAGCATTAGAGACAGAAAGTGACAGAATTACCCATCTGTTGGTGAAATACAGACATTCTGTGACCAAATCCGAACAGAAAAGTAGAAAGAAGCCTGGGGTCACACCCAGATGGACTTTTGCTGGGTGGTGTGAGTAGGGATGGGCATCGAAACCCGGTTCTTGTTGAGAACCGGTTCCCACTGTTTCAGTTCCTTGGGATTGTTTGCCATGTTTGCAAACGATTCCCTTATCGACTCCAGTCGCCCCGAATGACGTCACCACGTTGCGGAGCGTCATTTACCTGGCAGGAAACACGGCGGCTCAAACGCTCAAAAGTTTGGTTATACTTTACGAGAACGGATGACAACAGGGCAACTTGCAATACTTGCAAAGCAGATATTTCATTGAAGGGAGGAAACACTACGAATATCAAAAGCATTTGCTCACAAACACGCGATGACCTTAAATGAATGTCCTGTTTTTAATTCCGCGAATCTCAACCCAGCAGCAGCGGTAACGTTTGCACGTCCTCTCCCGTTAATGCGGCAGGTAAATAATCAACAACAGTGCATATTATGTTAGCGCGATCTGCCTTATTACAAACCTGCCATCACTGTGTGTTTAGTGACCATGATGAGTCGGAATCGTGAAAATCTTATCAGTACCCATCTGTAGGTGTGAGGCTGTAAGAAACTTTATGTAAACTTTGTCCATGTGCAACTTCAATGAAAATGTTCCTGACTGTAACACAGGCAGAGCCAAAGGTCAAAGACTGTGTGAAAGAACAAATTATCCATCCATCTCCTGCTGCTTATCCGGGTTTGGGTCACGGGGCAACAGCAGCAGAGAAACTCAGCCTTCCCTCACCAGCCACCTCCTCTAGCTCATCCAGGAGGACACCGAGATGTTTCCAAGCCAGCCAAGTGATATATTCTCTACAGCAAGGCCTCCTCTTAGTAGGACATGCCTGGAATACCTCACCCAGGAGGCATCCTAGTCAGAAGTCCGAATAACCTCAGCTGGCTCCTTTCCATGTAGAGGAGCAGCGACTCTCAGGCTGCGTCCACACATAAAGGCAGAAATGAAGGAAAACGCTGCTATGAACATGCCAAAGCAGCAGGTGGCGCTAGATTCCTAACCGTGCAGAAATGTTGGCCAATCAGAAGTCTAGAAGCCTCGGTGGGAAAAAGTAAACAAAGCTGGGGCATAGAAGCAGAACCGAGTCGTATGTGTGGAGGGACAGTAACTGTGTGTATATGTAAGCATCTAAACACTGCAGAGAGTAGAATTATTGTAGAAATTCATTTCACCGAAACAATAACGTGGCGCACAGTGTGACGTCACAAGACGCACACCTTTGACGCTGCGTTTTCTCCGTTTTTCTCGTCCACACGTAAACGCAAAAACAGAGTTTTAGAAAATATCCACCCTGGTGGGAGTTTTTAAAAATCTCCGTTTTCCGTGACCGAAAACGCCGTTTACGCCGGGCACGTGTGGACGTAGCCTTGAAGGGAAACTAATTCCTGACACTCTGGTCCACAACCTCATTCTTTCGGTCACTAAACAGAAGCTGTGCTAAATTGACAGCTTCCCTTTCATGCTCATCTCTCGCTTCACCACAACAGATTGGTACAGCATCTCCATCACTGAAGACACCGCCCCAATCTGTCTGTAAACCTTGCATGCACTCTCCCCTCACTCGTGGACTCGAGATACTTGAACTCCTCCACCTGGGGCAGTAACTCATCCCTGACCTGGAGTGGGCGCTCCAGTCTTTAGTGGCTGAGAACCATGGTCTTGGACTTGGAAGTTCCTGCTGTCATTCCCTCCACCTTACACTCAGCAACAAACGACTCCAGTGCAAACTGGAGGTCAAAGGAGGCCAAAGGAACCTCATCCTCCGCAAGAAGCAAAGATAAAATCTTGCAGCCAATACTGTGGAGACCGCTTGACTATGCCCAGACACTCTATAAAAACTATGAAAGGGTCTGTGACAATGTTGAATGGCCAGAGCCACACTCCACTTGGCCTGCCAGTACCTGTCAGCTGCCTGTGGACTCCCAATAAGATTCCTCCTTCAGCCTGACGGCTCACTTCACCTCCAGTATTCACCATCTGGTTCTGGCACTGCCGCCACGAGAAGCACCGAGGATCGTGCAGGCCCCATTCCTTTCAGTAGCCTAAGCAAGAGGTGTGGAGCATGGTCCACTCGGACTCCGTGTCTCCCTGAGGAGAACCTCTTCCTGAGGTGTAAGTTGAAGATCTTGCTGACTGGGGCGTCTGTCAGACATCCTCAGTTTTGGTCTCCCAGGTCTGTCAGCAGTGACAGCGTTTCTGCGTCCAAGCCATGGCCACAGCTCTGATATACGTTTACGTACGATTACAAAATCAATCATCCACCTGCGACTAGAACAAATTATTCCATCCATTTCCTAACAAGTACAATACTTGCAGGTCTTTAGCAGTTTCTTACAGCAACACAAAAACAAAACTAAACAGAAACAAGATAAAATACAAACAACACCAAGAAAAAGGTGCAGCAAACAATAAAAACCCAAACTCAATAAAGAGGACCCCGTTTTTGCATCCTTAGCTCTGCAGCACGCAGCCTGATGGATGTGGTTGGGTTTTTACTGCTGTGACCTTACAGGATTTCTGCCTGTTGAATTTCAAACAGCTTTTAGAGCTCTCGCTGCCATCTGGACCTGCCTATATGCAAACTTATCAAGTGCAGATTTGAATGAGAAGCACAGCTCCCTTGCATAACACTTGTTTATTACCGGCAGGCTGAAGCAGCCAGCACAGCACAGTTTGTGGCGCGTTAGCTTCACGAGCACCTTTGCTGCACCTCTTACCCTGTGCAGATCTCCCTGTATGCCATTGTCCAGTATCTTTGCAGCCAGCTGGGCCTCTGTCAGCTGTGGCCGAAGAAAAGGAGGCTGCAGACTCACACTCTGTGCACACTTTCTCCTGCCCAGATACCTGCAGAGAGCATTCACATCAGTACAGTGCTAATGATTGGTATCAAATCCAAATTCCTCTTAATCCTACATCTGATCACTTTCAACACTAACACCAAAGCAACAGCTCACAGATTGTTTAGTTTCTCACCAGCTGTTTCTGTTATTACACTATTCAGTGGCCAGTTTTAAGAAATTCATTTTAAAAACAGGAAGTGTGATGAGCTACAGGGTAATGCCTTCGACACTCGACAAGAGAGTCCAATAAAAAGGGGAAACAAAGAACGGACCTGGGTGCCTGTGAGCTGCAGAGGACATGAGAGACATTCTTCCAACAGCCATTGGTGAAAGGGTTAACACCTCCTCTGAACTTCCCCGTTACCTGGAGACAGACACGTCACAAAAACTTACATGGAGAATATAACAATGCGGGGAGGGGGGTGGGGGGTGGGGTTAAATGGCTGTTAACCTGTATCCACTTTCAAATTAATGCACTCAGTAGGACGCGAGGACCGTTTGAAGGATAACCACCGTCTCTCTGCCAGGAAAACAAACATCCTTCCCTATGCCACAGTGCACAGTGGAAGGGCCAAAGAGGACGTTTTTTCCTTGCCACTGTCACCGTGGGGTTGTCTGATATTTGGGGTTCTCTGTCTGTGATCTCTACCTAATATAAAGTGTCTTTAAACAACCGTTGTTACAAATTGGCACTATATAAATAAGACTGACCTGAACTGAATGAGCTAACTCCTGGGTTCCTGGTGTACATGTGTGCAACACTGACTTCTACTTACTTGTTCGTTGGTCGTCCTGCCTCTAGCCACAAGGACTATGTGGAAGCCAGTGAGGCCAGCGACAGGGATGAAGAACAGGCCTGCGACACACATTACTGCGAGCCTGAGAGCACGGGTGGGGGGTCAAGGACCTTAGCATCTTAAACATTACATTCAACAGATCAAGGCCTATGGAGAGCAGTGATGGACAAAACAACATGTGGTGTGTGTGGGGCGAGCAAAGCCAGAATGTACTCCTGTCCTAGGCCAGTTTATGCAGATTCGTGCGTTTATATCGTGTGTTTTCGTTCTCATTCAAAGATCAGATTGGGTGGGGTTGGACCATCTTTTCTTAGGAAGCTACGTGAAATCTTCCCACGCCACAGTGGGGGAAAAAAAAAAAAAAAGAGTGCCTCATTTAAACAACCTGACAGTAACTCAGCAATGTAAAACCAGATGAGAGTACCAGATCCACGGGACATGAAAGGATACGTGACAATGGCGTGCAGGCGGTCAATGTTCTGCCGATGGTAGAGGATGAAGAGCAGCCCAAAGCCAAACACAGCCATGATGTGGGCTGTCAGAGACAGCAGGAAGAGAAAGAAGTAGCGGTAGTTTCTCCTGCCGATGCAGTTGTTCACCCACGGACAGTGATGGTCGAAGTCCTGCAGAGTCAGGGGGACATTTAAGACACCGTCAGAGGAGGCTGAAATAGGAATGCAGCCATTAAGAGGCATTATTTCCATGCACCACCTTTCCTGTCTAACCTCATTAAGTCCTCAACAGATACACAGAACTGTCATCTGCAGGTTGGGAATGTGACATACTTTCACCAGAATACTCTGATTACAACTCTCCCATGTGATCCCAAGAGAAGAGGCTTGAAATATTGTACAACTGCATGTTCAGAGGAAGGTCACAATATCAACAACTGTTTAGTGCTGAGATCAGAGATCTTTGGTCATCTGCTGATACAAACACAGATCCAACACCTGGACTGCTGCAGATGAGCAACGCAGATTACCTTTGAACCTGGAACATTCAAATAGATTCAGACAAATGCAGAACAGAGCCTGGGACGGACTGCCAGTGCTCTATCATGGAAACCCTGTAAACGACTGACTGTCTGTTGGCAGCATGCCACTTCCTGGGTTACACATGCACACTCACACAGAGCACTAAGGAGTAGGGATGGGTACCGGTATCCGGTGCCATTATGGTTCTGACATAAACGGTAGTAACCAGACCGAAAAGCAGCGCACATTTCGCTGCTTTATTTCCCCTGAGATGTGATACACTTTGGATTCTAGCCAATCATTTTACCTCTGCAAGCGTAGTAGGCGGGGCCAGGTACGTACGTTCTTTTAGAGCAGAGCTACAGATTAAAAATGTCCAAGGTGAAGCGGTCAAAGTCTGGCTGTACTTCACAGCAAAAGATGCAAACTCAGCAGCAACAAGTGCTTTAAGCTGATACTGTGATACTGTCAAAGGAGGTAACACCTCGAATCTGATGAAACACCTGGCGACGCAAAGCGTTTCTTTAAAAGAGCACATCTACTGTGGGTGTGGTAAATCTCCCTTAGCGAGTTAGCGCGGATCGCCCGTGCGTGGGGCTGGACCGTGCTTATCATTTTGCAGAAAAAAAGAGACTGCTAAAAATAAAAACACGAGAGCTTTTTGGACAAAGTTTGTGCTCTCCATTCTTTAAGCACCGGTTTGAGCACCGGCACCGGTTCAAAAGTACCGGTTTGGCAGCAGATAAAACCTAAATGATACCCATCCCTACTAAGGAGCTTGCAAAGAAAAGCATCTGGACTTCTTTAAGTTGCTTGAAGACGTTTCACCTCTCATCCGAGAAGCTTCTTCAGTTCTAAGGTCAAATGGTCCCAGATATAAACCTAGTGGGAGTTTCCCCCCACAGAGGGACAAAAGGACCCCCTGATGATCCTCTACCTAATCACACGAGCTAAGGTGTGTAGGTCACAATCAGCCAGGGTTTCGGGTGAGCTCATTGTGAAACCTGGCCCCACCCTATCATGTGATTTCCTGAGGTCAGATGGCCCAGGATGTGAGTGGGCGTTAAGGCGTCTGGGGAGGATCTCAACACTGGATTATAGATGGCAGACAGTTGGTGTCGTAAACCCCGCCTCTGTTCAAAGATGGTCGCTCACAGTGGACATAGATGCTTCTTTCACTCCTCTTTCAAACCATCTGTCCAAAATGTGAACATTGGCATCCTTGAAAATTGAGTTTCCCTCTTGGTGAGTTACTCCCACAGACCTTAGACTGTGATGAGCTGGATGACTGAGAACCTTCACAGACATATTGCACAGAGCACACAATCCCAAGGTCAGCCATATTTGATTTTGGCCTGGCAACCAGTTCTTTACTGGATTAAGGACAGTGTGATTTTCTCCTGTTTGCCACTGTAACTGGAGAAAGAGACAGTGAGTGCTGGCTTAACGTGGAACGCTGCTAGCTGCATGTTTCACTGCAGCTCTCTGCCAATGGGGGAAAAACATGTAGCTGATGCTCAGAGAGGAGTCGATCGGTGGATTTAGGTAGTCAGCACACCGGTGTGCCCAAATAATGTTTCCTGGCTTTTAAAGCCTATTCGCCGTCAGGTTCTGTTCCACACACAGTTACTTAAGAACTTAAACTCGGCTCAAACGTCATGTTGACACACCTGCAATGACACCTCTAAATATTTAAACTGCAATCAGCACGAGAGGTGCCATCATCATCTTCAGCTTGTCCTCTGCAGTAGAAGGCTGCAGTGTGAACATATCAGGCCATTTAAGATTGTGCACTGAGTTTAGAGTCATGTCTCTGAGACAGCGAACAGATAGAGGTGCGTCACTGCTGTCTTGCCTGATGATGGACACGAGGCAGCCATTCTGTGGAAACCATTAGCAAACACATATGTAGCCTGAGAGGCCCATCAAGACCATTTTCACTGGCTTAGCATCAGCTACAGTTTGGCTACACACGTGCCCAGTGGAAGGAGTGTAAGTAAGGAGTAGATACTGAAACATTTTCAGGTCCAAAACTGCAGTAAACTCCTGTTACAGGTCGTGCTTGAGCTGGAGTAGCGTGTTATTCAAAGGACGACTACAGGCTGTCCAACTCGTTTGCACCCATCAACACTGACACTCCTCCTTCCATCACACACTAACAGGACAGCTGCAGAGCAAAGACATGTCCTTGAGTTACATCTTCTAAACACATTAAAGATTTATAACAATGATGATAACCACGTGCCAAAACCAGCCGGGCGAGGGTTTGAAAGTGTGAAAATCACAGAGCACGTGTGTTGTGGACACGGCTCACTAACCACAGACGCATACAATGATTCAGACTGTTTCAGATCAAACTGGGCTGTTTATAGTGCAGGCTTACTCAGCGTGCAACATTCAGACTGTTCATATGAAGAATAAATGAGTAAATGTAAAAAGTCAAACACACCTCAACACAGTTGTCACAGACAGAACAGTGGGAGCAGCGTGGCGGCCTGTAGAAGCGGCAGGTTGAACACCACTTCATCCTGACCTGGATCCCTCTGATCTCCACCGTCTTGTACAGTGGAGCGCGGAAATCGTCTTCTTTGTCCTCGTCCTCCTCGGCTGCACAGAGAACACACACAATCCTAAAACTGACGATCTATTGGTCAAAAGTGAGACAGTGAAAGTGCCAAAGCTCGCAGCTGCCCACTCAGTCCACCCGAGTTTGACCGTAGGCGTCCACGTTCAAATGATGGACTACAAAGAAGGTTTCAGTCTGTAGAAACTATTTACTCTTTCATAGCAACTGTTTTTTACAGTTTCAAACAAGCCAGTCGTGTGGAAAGGGTCACGGGTCGGCTCTCCGTGTCAGTGCCGTTCAAACAAAGGACCCTCTGCCCCCTCGGTATTTTAACAGTCCTGTGACTACACTGAAACCTCATCATCTCATATTTCGTGTCAGACTTTTCATCTCAGACTCAGATCAAAAGAAATAAAAAACAAAACATGTTTTTGATGTTGTTTTGACCCCACAGAAATGAATGTAAAATATAATGTAAATTCACTGGTGTTGGGTTGCCTAGGAACACACATTCTGACAAGAGGCTGCTCTGACATGAGCCAGAGATAGCTAGCTAAAAACACAGAGGACTGCAGTTAAATAAAAAAGCAGAGCGTGTGACTGAACGCATGGACAACTGGGTGGACGGAAGTTCTGAACTGTGGGGATCCTAGCAGAGAATCCACAGTGTGGAGAGCTAATCCCACCAAATAAAGAGTCAAATCCAGAACAGCAGCGTGGACGACGGGGCGAGGCGACCGCATGCAGATGTGGACAACACGAACGGTTTTTGTAGCTAGCTGTGAGGCCAGTTTTAAAATGTTTAGTGTAACTAACAACACACGTCATCCAAAACTTATAATGTTTATGTTCCGTAATAATTACATTATTTTATCTGTTAGCTGTTGTTGTGTTCACCATAATGATCTAAATGATAACAACTAATCAAACCTAAAAACCGTGTCAAAGCTTACTTTACATGAGGAGAATCGGATTAAAATGAACACGCGACCTTAAATGATGCCTGCTGCTAAACTTCACAGCTCCACTGTATCCATCTCAATAGTATGAACAGACCTCACACCACAATGAGGCTTTTGTGTTCAATTTGGAGTTTCCATTTGTAGCTACACCCTGGTGGTGGTGATGGGTAGACGGCCCTTTTGAATTTTAGATGTAATTTTGTTTTCGACAAAATCAAATTAGAAGGACGTAAGACATCCCAACGACTGAGCCGCGGCACGCTTCCTGTGCAGCGCGCCTCACTGAGGTGCTGCTGCGCTCTGCAGCTTTAATCCATCACTTCATCCAAGTCCTGCCTGTTCGACACAACTTACCTGTTTGGTGACACCCAGCATTAAAGGCATTCATTCAACCATCCGTGCACTCACCTCGGGGGAAGATGCCAGGGTCCATGAATGTGGCCATACAGAAGTTAGCCAAAACAAAGAGGAAGATGATGCCATTGTAGATGGGGATGGCCACTGAGAAACGCTCTGAAAGCCACGGACACCTGAAACAAGACCAAGCCTCACGTTGGAGATGTCCAAACAAATGCATTACAGAACTGTTAGAGCTGAGTGTCGTTAAACGTGAGGCTGCGGTCTTTGTAGCAAAGCTGCAGCACCCTGTGTTTTCTAAGGAAAATGTTTATAAAGGAGCTGTTCTGCTAACTTTCACTATTTGTCTATTCTTGGATCTATCAGAACAGCACCCTGGTGTGCTCCTGCAGGGATCGATCGATAGATAGATGTTCACTATTTTAATTACAGATTATATCAGTAAGGAAGCTGACTAAATATTAACTGATAACTCATGGCAAAGGGGTGGGATTAAATAAGTGTTTACTTCTTCCCGCTCACTTTCAACATGTCAGGGCTCGCAAAATCGCTAGCCCAATGTCCCGGGGCTAGCGATTTTTCCAGT